CCCCAAAACCCCAAAACCCCAAAACCCCAAAACCCCGGAATACTCAATCCTAATTGACTATATATTTTATTTACAAAGATAATTTAAATGGATGGAGAGACTCCGCCTAAACGATTATCGTTGGCTCTGCGCCATAACAAGAGTGAATGCTTTAGTGTGCTTCCAATCTGAGAACCAACCACCCCTACGTCCTGTGTAACCCCCTTAGTAGAAGATGAGTTTGATTTTCTCAGCTTTGACTCCTTAACATTTGAAGAACATAAAGGCCTAACGGGTTGCCACAAGGAAATTTATGTGGATGAACTTTTAAAGAGACCTATTCCAAACTCATTGGTTTCTCAAAAGAGTCCTTCTATAAACTTTTCTTTCTCCAATGAGTCAAGTGACAGCTATGAAAAAGGGAAATCTACATTTCCCAAGATCAAAATGGTTAAGAGAAAAGTTACCAAAAAGGATTACAAAATTGGGCCCAAGGACAAACCATTGAACCTTAAGAACTTGAAGCGGATTGTCTTTGCAGAGAAGCTGAAGGAATCTCCCTTCAGATGTCCTTGCCAGAAAATTGAAGGCCAATTCTGCTGTTTTAATGCTCAAGAATGGATCAATAATCTTAAGTAATTTTTTAGCTTATTTTTAGTGCTATTATTATCAAGAAAGACTCATTCGGGTTAGAAATAGGCATAATGAACAAGTAAGCCTTTGTCCAGTTAATTTGATAGAATAAATATTGAGAAATACTTAGAGCAGAAAGAAGTTTATGAATCAATCCTGAAAAGTTCTCATGATAGGAGTGATTCATCCAGCAGCTCTGGAGATTCTTTCTTTGGAGATCTCTCAAAGAAGAAAGAAAGTGTAAAGACACAAATTTTGAAAGATATACCAAGGACATTCTCCAATCTTGACATATTCGGTTATGCTTCTGCACTTCAAAAGTTGTACAGGATTCTATATTCATGTTTTATTTATGACCATCAACTCGGATATACACAGGGGATGAATATGGTAGCTGGAGCTCTTCTAATGCACACAGAAGAGAGCATTGCATTCTGGCTATTCATTACCCTTCTTGAAGATTATGATGTCAGAGATGTATTTACAAACACCCATGAAAGCTTAAAGAAGCATTGTGTATGAATAGAGAAATTATTACAACACTATCACCCTGTCCTTGCTAATCATATGAAGCAGAATGATATTAGAGCAGAAATGTTTGCATCTGGGTGGGTACTATCCCTGTTCTGATGAGTAATTCCTGCTCCTTTTCTGCATTCTTTCTTGACAAGGTTCTTCAAAAAGAAATGGAGTGCTTTCTACAGCGTCTGACTATCAATCCTGGCTTACCTCGAACCCTCAATAATGAAAATAAACGATCTTCCTGACTTCTTTGAAATTTACAGGGAGCTTAAACTTGACCAAGATTTTATCAAATATGAGGAAAAACAATACGTCGATAACGAGCATGTAATGGACTCCCTAATCAAATGGAGAAGGATCTTGAAAAATAGCGAAACCAACTATAGAGGTATTAGCTCCCAGCTCAAGAAGTTACGAGTGTAAGTTACATTTTTCAATTCAATATCGTTAAACTTTTACGGGGTTTTGGGGTTTTGGGGTTTTGGGGTTTTGGGG